TGATATTTGTAGCTTATACAACATTGCACTGCACACAGTAGCCCATAAATACATGTACTATGATTATTGCTAATGATACCATATATGGTAAATCAGTTAGTACAGTTAAAGTGTGTGTGTGTGTGTGTGTAGTATCCTATATACCTTGTTTATTGGCCTCAACCAGTGCCTCCTGTAGTGATGCTTTGCTTTGATGAGCCACTTGTAGGTCTTGATGTAAAGATTGTATATATCTCTGAAGCTTCATTTCCTTCTCTGTGGGATATGCTATTAGCTGATCCATCCACCATGTTCTGGTCTTGCTGTACGATTGATACTTTTCTTGATAGCTCTTACTAGTGAGATCATTACCATCCAATACTGACTGTACTATCCACTCACCAGCTTCACTATATACTGAGAGACAATAAGAAAATAAATGTGTTTAATTTATAAATTAATATTATCTTACCTAATTCAATTATCATTATTAGTCTATTAGTATCAGTGATAAAAGTACCGTATTTCCTTAAATAAAAGCCCGGGCGTCTATTTCATAAAAATGATACTTGGACCTCCAAAAAATATATAAAAAATAAAAAAAACTTTGGCCCAGAGCGGGATTCGAACCCGTGGCCTCAAGCTTTTGACTTCTGGAACTTCAGGCATTGCCCACTAGACTACTGAGTCACTCCTAGGCTGGTGTTGCGTATTTATAGTTTAATTCTATTGCTACCCCGGCGTTTATTCGAATGCGGCTTCTATTTAAGGAAATACGGTATTCATCGGCACTTTCTTTCCTCCTCCAACATCTTCTAATTCATACTCTTCATATCCTCCAACAATTACTAGCCACACACAGTGTGGTGACATTGTGACTGCTGTGAGTGAGTGATTGTATCTACCAGTAACAAATTCAGGTAGAGGAATCTGTAGATAAAGAGAAGTATACAAGTAATTACTGATACATGATGTTTATACAGTTACTTATAAAAATGAGAAATTGTATCATTTCACATGTAGATGATCGTTACATTTATTGTAATTGTAAAATCAATTTTAATCCTCACCACAAACAAAATGAGACACCTACAGTGCATGCGTGGCCTCGCCCCTATAGCTGTTTGATTATCAAAATTAAAAGAACTTTAACATGCAAATTGCATATATAAAACAAGTGTACTCCTGAGGGATAACAGCTAGCTTGCATAGATCTACCAGACTACCTGCAGAAGTAGCAGCATGCAAGCTACTCCAGCTATTCCCAAAGGTGAGGCATGACATCATCAGCTATTAATTAATTATTTTCCGAGCAGCAAGCCCTGCAACAAGAAGGAAGTTTCATATTTTTCTCTTCTTATAAGCGCCATAAGACATTATAATGGCACAAATACATGTACTAGTACCTAGATGTAAATTGAGTGATTTGAGAGAGTTTAGGACCTTTAGACTATTTACAGTTCACCCAGGTTGAAATTCACGAAGCTACAACTCACCAACAAGAAAGATTTAAAAAGTCCCACACATATATAACAATAACTAGTCTTGATCTACTGGAAAAGAGTCTCATTTACCACCAGAGTACTACTGCTATTGCTGGGCATTTTCTTGTGAGTTAAAAAGCTTCTACTAGCTAGAGCTGCTCTCTAAACATCTCAAGGCAGTAAAGCAAGACTTTTCCTAACAGAAGAGAAGCTTTCACAGATATAGAGGGCGGATATACATTCTCAAAGACAAAAGATAGCACACAGAATGAATGACAGACAGACAAACTGAGTACCTAGTCCTCGCCTACGCAAAGCTGGGTGAGGACAATAAATTAATATTTCATTTCACATCATGTGAAGAATAACAAAATATGTTAATGTTTCATCAGTGATAGTGTTATCTACTGAACACACTAACAATTACTAATCTATCATCAATATACATCAGTACTAGTGTCATACTCTCAACTGACCTAACTATACACACACACATCATTACAGTACTATACACACACATACCTTCCTACAACTGTACTGACCAGTAGTGATACTATCAAATAACAAACATTCATTAACTAGTTGATCTCTCTTATCCCGTCCACCAATCACTACTAGTGTAGGTGAGGTAGAGTCACCATTGATAATAGCACTAGAATGACGACATCTCTCTATAGGCCACAGTCCCTCAATAGGTATTGTTCCTGGTTTCAGTATCTCCCAGTTCTAGATACATAAACAAGTACTAATAATATCAGTCAGTGTGTACAAATATGAATAATGGGTGTGACATGTAAAAATTAATCCTAATATTAAATACTTCGATGTTAATGAGGTGAGGCTAGTGGTTGTGTTTAGTATTATACATGTACAAGTACTGGAGGTATAACTAATCTATTGGTACACAATATACTTCATAATATGAAAAAATACCATACTAAGCATGACTATACACTGTCTAATTATGAAAATATATTATGTAGTATCAGAGCTTTGTGAATATTTAATATAATAATACACATAATACAGTTAATATGAGTACAACACAATATACATTGTATCCTCTAGTGATAATACTGAGATAATGTATTACTGTACAATGCAATACAACAAAATATTATAATACAACTTACTATTGTACTATGTGTCACACTGAATACGTAAACACTGTTAGTAATTACAGTCCCATCACCATTAACAGTCACTTTACCTCCAAACATTACTCCTCTGTTACCGGTAGTAGAAATCTTCTCAATTATGAAACTACTAGTTGGTGGACAACACTGCCCACTGACAGATGGAACAATGAATTGTCCTTCAGTGAAGAGAATACAGTAATCATTTATCAATACATGTTAACAATATAAAGTATAATTAATTATTACATCATGATGTGTATATAGTTAGTTATAATAAAGTTGAAGTATGTATACATATACAATTATTTTTTTATCAGAAAGACACAGTTATGCATGGTTAATTCCATGTACATGTACACATAAAGCTATTTATTAATATGAAGAGAGTCTTACCAGTGGACACATTATAAAGTAACTGTTCATTAGTACGAACACGACCAGTCTTAAGTTGATCATATTGAAACTGAGGATGGTAAACAGTTGGTGTAGAACCATACCCTCCTATTATGACAAGATATTCTGCTCCATCAAATTCTAGTGATATCATTCCAGCACCACATTTCTTCATCAACAACTGTTCAGCATTACTGCAAGAAGTCCATTGCATCTTTATCGTATTCAGTACATTCAACGTATTGTGGTAACAGTCATCATGACCACAATCTCCACCAAAATAGTAAATATTAGAATGAGAGGTGGTACATGAGTAGGCCATTACTCCTAATGGAGGAGTACCTCTTGTTAGGTGAGAGGACCAGTCAGCAGTAGAAAGCTGGTAGACATCAATTGTTGAGGTCAGTTCCCTCTTTTGAAGGGAGTCATGCACCCTAGGTAAGTCAACCTGGTTCCCTGCCCACAGGTAGAGGGACTCCCCTATTACAGGAGCTTTGTGTTCAGCTCTCATTTTCAAACCTGTGGTAAATGAATAATAATAGAAATGAAGACAATGACTACAGAAGAATAAATAGAAAGAGAGAGCATGAAGACAGAGGAGGAGGAAGAGATAAACTAACTTTTTCCCGACATCCTTTTCTTCTTCTGAACAACAAGCCACGCCTAACATTTCAGCAAATTAGACCACACCTTCTACTCATTTTTATTAGTGACCACGTGCAAAAACGTGGACAGTCATACAGCAGGTACTGCTCTCAGTCAGTGCTCTGCATCACTTAATAATTAGAGAGGAGTGATGAGCATATCAGACTGACTATCATTTTAGTACTCACAATGCTAATGTACTGGAATGTGGTGTATCTGTATAAGTAGTAGTGCCATTGGTACTGGATAGAGAGAGGGGGAAGTAGGGGTGTCCCGATTATGCTAAATTTTTTACCTATAATTCTATTCAGAAATTCTCAAAAATTTGCCTATTATTCTTTTTATTTTGCCCTATTATTCTCACTTTATTCTTTATAATCATGAGCTAACTACAATAAAAATGAAAATTAGTAAGTCTGAGAAGCTATTTAAAGTATCACTATCAGCAGAGACTGCAAAATATAAGTCTCTATATCAATTTCAGAACCTGAACTTTGTTCAAAAATTGAGTTACAACTAGCTCAGGCATTAAAAAATTCAAAAATTGTGCATTTGCTGCTCTTTAATTAGAGTTTGGCTACTGATCCACCTATTAGGCCAGCATTATTCTGGAATTGAAGTGCTACCTATTATTCCCAAAATTATTCCGGAATAATCGGGACATCCCTAGGGGGAAGAGGAGACAGGAAGCATGTCATTCACTACTAGTGATGTATGACAGGATCACTTAATAATCATTGATTCAGTAGAGTGTTTGTATGTAACTGGAACTTTAAAACAGCATAAACACCCACGCAATGGAAGTGTGCTAATTTACTGATTGTGGGAGTGGCTGGATATTATGGCTGGAGCTGATGATGAGGATTGTGGGTGGTGGTGATTGTGATGAACTGGATCATCTAGATGAAGCTGTTACTAAATCCAGGAGCTCCTTCAAGACTTTGTTTAATAAAGGAGTCGAGTACCAGGCCTACTTGAACAGAGTTGTGGGACCAGAACCAGATAAAAGCGGGAGCAGCCTGGAGCGGGAGTTGACGGATAAAACCGGGAGACGGACTGACGGAGCAGGAGTTACGCCTATACAAGAAGCGGGAGTTGACGGACACAGAGTTGTTGAAATAAGAAGATTTTCTACATAGGATAAGGACATCAATATGCATCAGAAAATTGTAATAAAAATGGGGGGGGGGGTGATCTTTGTATGACAGAGTAACATACTGTACCAAAATGTCCATGATATAGAGGCACCATACATGCACATGTACACGGCACACTCCTTTTCTTTTATAGACCCTTGTGAAAAATCCCAGCAAGATCTTATTAAGTCTCTTTAAAATTCTTCACAAGATTCTTGCTAATATTACACAAGTATTTACCTGACTTTGAAACAAGGATTATGTAAGATAGCATTAGATCTTGCTATCAAAATGTAACTTGAGCAAGATCTGATAGGATCTTTCTCAAGATCTTACCAAATTCTTAGAAGATCACTGACAGCAAGATCTTACCTGATTTTGAAACAAAGAACATGAAAGATATCATGGGATCCTGCTTTATCAAGATTTTAAAAATTAGCTGAGTTCTTACATGAAGTTTCAGCTTATGAAAAATGGACGCAACAGTAAGATCTGAGCAAGATATTATATGGTATAAATGAATTATTTAATAATGTGAAAGTTAATGTGAACTTAATTAACTTTTTTGACTTCATTATAACGAAAATTTCCTTTCTTATATACTGCCACTATTGTAAAGGCTATCATGGGTTGTCTACCACTTCCTGTGACATCATGCAATTTGTAAGATCTTTCAAGATCTTTTATGACTTAATGAGTGATCTTATGTGTCGTGTGATCATGGATGATTCTTCAAGATTATAAACTTATTAGATTTTGTAAGATCTTACTAGAGCCATTTAATGGACAGCACCTAGTGTACCAATTACATTCCATACTGTATAAAATAACCTCCATAAAGGACATCTCTGTATAACAGAGCAAATTTACTGTACCAAAATGTCCATTATATACAGGTCCCATTGTAATAAATGTACATGCACACATACTCTGTCTTTCTTCCTTTATAGAGAGATGATACCTTCACTTGAATTACTAGCCAACATGAGCTATCAAGCAAAAGTTGTAGAAATAATGGCTGCACATGTTTACGATTTAAGACCATATGCACTTACTTTATTCTTATTATTAATATTAAATAATTAATAATATTAATTCATTAATTTATTTGTTGTTATTAGATATTAATGTTAGTGAGGAGGAGTTGAAACTAGTCGATTGAAGATGAAGGAAATGAGAGATTTAGTGGAGAAGAGGATATACCACATTCTCAGAGCAAAAAACGTAAGTTTAGAAAATAAGCATGAATTATATATAGTACATGCAGGCACTACAGGGATTTTTTCAGAAATTGGCCTATTTGTAAAAATGACCATAACTGGAAGAATTGAAGTCAGAATCAGCTAAAACTTTTACATAGCATAAGGACATAATATATTAATCAAGAAATAGAATAAAAATTGAGGGTGATTGTGGAGCCATTTTTTTGGGAAAAAGCATGATCTATAGCCTTGGGTATTGTTCTGAATTTTGGTTTTTTTAAATGGCCGTAACTTGAAAAATTGAAGTCAGAATCAGCTAAAACTTTTGACACAGCTTAAGGACAATAATATGTATTAGAAAATGTAATAAAAATTTGGGGTAATTCTGGAGCCATTTTTTTGGAAAAAACCTATAGTACAGGGATTTTTTAGAAATTGGCCGGATTCAGTTCAAACTTAATGAGCATTAACATTCACCATTTTTATGACTGACATCATTAGACCTACACATCATCATTATAATAATAATGATGATGATGATGATGTGTAGATCTAAAGGCCGATTCACACTGCAAAATTAACGTGAGGTAAGGCTATACGTTAAGACAGGAAGTGCTGTATAAACCAATGGCAGCCGTTTATGTAAGGTAAGAATATGCGGATGTGTCAATATGCGGCACATCCAAATACATGTACCTTTAGATGTCCAACTCCTGGCTTTACTCCTGTTAATGCTTCAAAGGGTGTCTTGTGACTGGGAAAACTTTAGTAGGGCATCGATTACAAATGTAAACTGCTGCATGTTGAAATAGCTTCAGCCCAAAACTTCTTTGTTAACTTAGAACTGGCCAGCATTGAACGAGCCATTTCCATTAATGTTCTGTTCATCCGTTCAGCAATACCGTTCTGTTCTGGACACTTTGGAATCGTCAATTGGTGCCTTATTCCTTCTCTTCTCAAGTAGCTTTCAAACTCAGTAGAAGTAAATTCTCGTCCATTGTCACTTCAAAAGGCCTTTAGCTTTCTTCTAGTTTCCAGTTCTACCAATGCTAGCCTTTCCACTCTTTAAATTTGTCAAAGGCTTCAGACTTTTGCTTTAGTACATAGATCTTGTACAGTCATCGATAAAGGTATACTTTGCTCCGCTTAATGATTTGGAGTTGACCTTTCCACAAATGTCACTATGCACCAGTCTAGTGGTAATTCCTTTGCTCTAGTCTCAGAATGTGAAGGAAAAGTACTTCTATGTTGCTTTCCCTCTAAACATCATTGGCAGAACTGAATTTCATTTGTTGGAGTGAAATTGAAATCATCAACAAGATTCTCCTTAGCTAACTTCTGTAGACTCCTTACATTAAGGTATCCTAATTGATAATGTCTTCCTTTGTTGTCTCTTGACACGAAGTTGCTGAGTTAACGTAAACTAGAGTAGTATTGACTTGATAAAGACCTCCTATCTTCTCTGCTACAGCGATTGGTCTATGATTGGGATCTCTGATAATGCAACTTAACTTTCCAAATTTGATGCAGTTTCCCCTTTCTACTGCTTTCAAGACACTCAAAAGATTATATGATAACTCTGGAATATAGAGTACATCATGTAAAGTACACTTACATGTATGTGAACCTTGACGACCATACTTCATCAATACTTTCACTGTACCCTGAGCAACAGCTGATAGCTTGTGTCCATCTCCTAGTACGACTTCTAATGGATTCTTCAGAGGATAAAGTTGAAAAAACAGTTTGCAATCATTGCATATATGACCGGTAGCTCCGGAGTCAATGATCCAACTTCTACTGCATCAAGGATTCTCTTCAGTAGATAGTCCATTTCCCACTACCAGACCTGCATCACTATCAGTATCATTATCACCTTGACGTGTTTCAGCACTGTCAGCTTTATGATACGGCTTTCTTATTTCTGTTGAATGCTTCTCAATGAACTGAGAGCTCTGCCTTGATCTTTCTCGTTCTCTGCAGTTGCATTGAATGTGTCCAAGTTTCTTACAGAAATGACACCTTGGACCTCTCCTCTGCTGGTGTTTAGCTGCCATAGCTCCTTCATCTGTACTGCTTGGTTTGGTACAATCCTGAGCTTCTTCTCTTCATGTGTTAGTCTCTCTATGACTGTCTTCATACCAGGAACAGTTTCATTGGCCTCAAGTGCAGTCACTACCACATCATAAGATTCTGGGAGACTTGCCAATAAGTAAACAACCCGGTCATCACTTTCAATGGTATTTCCAGCTGTTGCTAACTTATTGAAGATTTCAGTCATTTCCTTTATGTGAGACTGAACTGACTCTCCATCCTTTAACTTCAGTGAGTGCAGCCTTTGTCTCAGATTAAGCCAATTTGTCCATGTTTTCTTCTGATACTGTTCTGATAGAGTCTTCCAGACTTCAACAGGAGTTCTTGGTTCCCCGAGGATATATAACAGCGTCAAATCCACTTATAGCACGACTATTGCTAATGCGCGATCTTTCCGTGAATAAACTCATAGAG